TCTGTTTTATTTTAATAAAACTACATTGACTGATACAATAACATCTTTGAGTGCTTGTAATCAATTTGAAGTATGCGCTGAAGATGTCACCTAGTAGGGTGATGAAAGCTTCGCAAATTAACTATCCAGCTCAGAGAACACAACCACATCAAAATCTTCCACCTGAGCTACAAATCTTCTCTATCATTTCTGAAGACTATTTATATCACAGGATGGTTTCTCTACACCATCTAAATTACATAAACCGTTACTGATTCAAACTGATTCAGAAACTGATTCAGAAATCTATCATTAGTTTACTGCACTGTGTTACACTAAATTTAGGGATTAAATGCCAATTTCAATTATCATCACCTTATTGCCAAAATTAATCTGTATGCTTGCGTAAGATTTAATATATTCATGTATTTGTGACTAGGTTCTTCATAATTACACACACTAATTAAACGATGAACATGCACAGATTGTTAGAATTAACGCTAATACGACAGTCATTTATATGTACAAATTTGATGAAAGAAGTATGCGTGTGTGTGTGTGTGTACACGTTCCTTACTACAAAGTTTCTTTTAATGTCTACTAAATCATATGATACCTTAAAATTAATTGATTTTGCTACATGTGAATAGACTTTTAAATGCAACAAACAACAACAGACTGCATCATTTGTTAAAGCAAAGACTTACTGTACTATTCCTCTGTAAAACCTAATTACTCAATAATGCCAAGAAATCCAACACTCCATAGACCAGTGGAAGTTAAAGACTTCGAACACTGCTATCATAAACATGTTTTGGTTAGAAGATTTGTGGAGGTAGGTCTGTCGAAAGAAAATTGTTTTGAAAATTTCGTAATATTTCTTCACTCATCAATCAGGTCTGTTATTTTGTAACTTTTAATTATTTATTCGCTCTGTTTGAACGCAAATATTGTAAAAATCATTGTCCATTGTTGTCATTTGAAGTTTTCACGGTGCTTGTGTCTGTGAGGTCGAACGTCATCTCGGTATGGTGAGAAAACCCCACATAAGTTAAGACGCATATTCACAGGTAAAAAGTTCAATCAGTCTATTTTGTTGGCTTAAGTACCCTACTTTGGAGCAGCATATGATGCCGAATTCAAAAACTCCAGTTTTAGTAGACACTCGGCCTGGTAATTCCTTAAGAGTAAATGTCAGCTTATACCATGATACGTTAATCTGTGGTAACTGGTTGAATGGAGAGATCTTTACAAACAGAATGTACGATAAGAGAAATAAACTGCTTTCAAGCAGCATCATGTCCTTTGGAAAGTTTGCAATTATAAATTTCTTTCAGTCGTTGGTCGTTGTATATATCCACTTTACTTCGTTTATTTCATATTAGATTGTGCATTAGATGGGTCACACAAAGAAACAGTATTATTCACTGGATAACGTTTCGAAAACAATTTATTGTTCATAATTATTTCAGAGACAAACTAGGTAAGTTAGATTTTAGTCTTGTTAATTTGTCTCATCCTATAGCATACTTATGTGTGACTGTTTGTCGAATAATGAATAAATAGAACAGTTCGAAAAAAGTGGATGACATAATGAGTAAAGTTAAGAAATCGATAGCCGATCATATACTCTAAATGAAACTGCTTCTATGCCAACCTAAATGATTTAATGTAATCGCTAAATCTAGTAATCTTAGTACAGTATACGACATTGTCCAAGATCTTAAATCGGATATTTTATAAGATATAATCATTTTTGTAAATACGTTGACTTATTAGCTGTGCCAATACTTGGCTATGATAATAGATCTCACTTGAAATCGCTCTGAATATAAATTAACTAATTATTACCCACTGAAACATCGAACATCTTAGAGTTAGATGAAATCAGTGAATTATTTCGATGTCATCAGCTCGTAAACTCATATACGAGTAAAACCCTGTAGAAGCTGTAAGAAAAACTCGGATTTCTGACCAAGAACTCAAACTTACAACCAAATCAATAGATTAAATCGTCTTAGGAACGTAGCTATACTTGACTACTGTAGTACTTAAGTTCCGATTGAAAATATTCAGATAAGCTGAAGAAATACGATCACAGACATTTCCAAATGTGACAGATATATTTATATGTGGTTGACAAAACGTAGCACTTGAACTGTTTAGTTGCACCCTGCAAGATGGAGATTCACAGTATTAAAAAAAATGACGGAAATAGCTTTTCAGACGCAAATTCAATGATAGATTCGAATAAATGTACTAGCTAACAAGAATTCACGAAGAAAGTAGGTTAATTAAAATATAACAGCCTGAGAAGATGGTAGTGGTGCTTACAAAAAGCACATTTATTCAGACAGGTTTTTTTTACCTCAAGTCATCCAATCCCATGTCACTTCTTACGCAAGAGTTAGGATATATAAACGCAGACTTGATACCTTGATAAACTTATCCCGCAGAATACAAAGAAATATAAGAACAGTAAGAAGTGAGTATGACACACTTATTGTGGGGAGGGGGGTAACAGAATCATGAAAAGACAATTTAAAGCATCTGTAAAGTTGTCATACTTAGAAGGGACGTCTGAAACTTTCCATGGCATTTTTAACAGGACAGGGTACCTAGTTCCATTTAAACCCACAAACTTACAAACGAATTATGTCCTATGTAGACTATTTAACAAAATAATTTAATCTGTCTGTCTATGCGTTTATAAATCAATAAATCACCGTCGTAGATCAAGGTCAGTTAGATTAGTTGAGCACAAACATTTTACGAATCTTTATTCAGTGGATTCTACTTTGCTAAGAACTGCCAGAAGAGAAAATTCATAAGCTACTGGATTCCGCGTTAGTGGATCAATGCTCGGCTCACTCACCTAGTAACCTCGAGGACTTTAGTTCGATTCAACATAGGGTCACTGCTGAAGAGTTCATAACTACGATGAAAAAGACGTACCCCTTGGCTTTCAATAATTCTCTTCACTTCATGATCTAACTTAGAAAAAAGCTTAGCCATAGCACCACAAGCAGTCACATATAAGAATACAGTAGGATGAGACAAATTCACATACTTAAAATCTAACTTATCTGGATTATATTTGAAATAATTATGAACAATAAATTGTTATCGAAACTTCATCCAACAAATAATGCTGTATCACTGTGTATCCTTCCTAATAAACTCACTATTATGGAAATACATACTACAACAGTCCCCAAGTCTTTCACATAAATCAGTTCACTCTGTATACGTCAGTCAAATCTTCATTACCATTTTGTTAAGACTCATGTCGGAATATGCACAGTTGAATGAAATATTTGCTATTATAATAAAACTGTTTCCCGCAAACTGATATATATATATAATTTTGTAATTAATGTAACTTCATTTTTCAAAACTTGATCACTGGTAGAATGATGATTCAGAGCTCGTGCCATTGGAATTCATGTGTGGAGCTGCGGAGATGGGAATAATTTCCAAGATATATCGACGAAGTTACATATCTGGTTATTAATCTGTCTGTATTATTCGGTTCGATCACAACAGAAGAAAATGATAATCTCAAGGAAATTTTCATTTCTGTTGTCATTATTTTTATTAGGTGCACTAAACTGTTTGAGAATCAAATTAATATATACTAGTTAATTTGCTGAATATTTCCTACCTAAATACCATGAGCCAAACCTCAACACTGCACAAATACAGTTCGGATGAATTGTACACTCTCTAAGTGAATGTTTGTGCTTACCTGTCAATAAGTAGTCAACATTTTCACTAGTTTTTTATTTAGCAGTTAATTGGTGGATGATGACTAGCAGTGGAATCCAGGATGCGAATTTCGTCCCATTTTGGGCTTGCCAGCTGGATGTACCTGCACTTCGCATTGATTGATAATGTTCCCACCGAGGCTGGAACATAGTGCCCATAGTTTCAAACGCCACTGCGTTATCCACTAGACCACTTGCGACACCAGTTTTGTTCCTATCCAGTATAAATGTTCCCTAGTGAAATGTTTGTTTTCAAGGGCCCGTAAAATGTATACGAGCGACACACTGTTGGATGAGCTTCGACATAGACATTCAGTTTTATTAGCTAATAGTTATCCAGAAAACTTTATCAGTTGTCACAGTAAGGATAGACCACATCTAAAAAAGACAGCTTCTGTATCAAAGAAGGCTATCTTTATTAACCTAACTTTCAAGGGTGATAAAATTATGCAATTGACAGCTCAAAAACTTCCGTCAGCCATCAAACGCACATTCTACGCTGCATCTCTTTCCCTCACATGCCGAACATTTTCGATCCTTGTGCCTACGATTAAATGACAAAATTCTGTGGACTCTACTTCAAATTGTATCTACAAGTTCACCTGCAGTTGCTGTGACACCTATATAGGTAGAACCAATAGAATTTTCTAATATAGTCAAAAAGAACATGTTCCAAAATGGTTATTAATACACATAGAAAAGCCCGATGCAATCTAAATAGAAGTCCATCATCCACTGCAAAGCACTAATTAATGTCAGGTCATAAAATCAATATTAATGACTGTTTTACAATTATTTCACATAACTCTAATTCAAGGTTATTGAGACGCTTCACTTTGGATAAGTCATATACATCTTAAACTATGTGTACAAAAAGCAGTAGGCTTCAACCTTCGCCTACCATGGATTACTTGATCTATTTAAATATTTGATAGTGTGGAATATTCCCATATTATGAATTAAAAGTCAGTCTGAACGAAGAATATTCTTTTCAATAATTTCTCTACAGGTTATTACAGTTATAAAATATAATATTTGTTGTCGTTACAATAAAGGCCACCTATGCGACGGATACATTTTTAACGTAGAATAACAGATTAGTTATGGGGTGTCAAAATAAATAGTCGTATTTGTGTGACAAACGTGCTAGGCTGAAATCGACAACTGACACATTTTGTTACCTTGATCTGACTTGTCAATTTTCCTACCCCACACTCTACAAATCTATTATGATTAATCACCACGATTGTCTCCCGCTTTACAATATTTTGCAATCGATTTCAGCCTAGCACGTTTGTCACACAAATACGACTATTTATTTTGACACCCCATAACTAATCTGTTATTCTACGTTAAAAATGTATCCGTCGCATAAGTGGCCTTTATTGTAACGACAACAAATATTATATTTTATAACTGTAATAACCTGTAGAGAAATTATTGAAAAGAATATTCTTCGCTCAGATTGACTATTTAAATATGATTGGTCATTAGTATGTACTTTTGTTTTTTATATAAATGAGTAATTGTCATGACCTTTATTTTATTATTGTGAACCATGTTAGTTGTAAAGCGGTTATAAAGAAACTATGAAATGATATCATCTCGAGAAATTTGTCTTCTAAATGCCTTATTCAAATTTATCAAAGGGACTAGTTGCTTTAAACAATACCTTAAATATAAATTCTTCGAAGAATTATCCCACCATGTAACTGCTTGTATCTCATACACGGTTTATACAATGCAAATATTGACAAATGTAGATTTGAGAATTATAAGGTGTTTACTGATGAAAGCAACTCTACTTCGTCTACAAAATTTTTATATATTTTAGAATTCAAACAATTTAATGGGTGGTCGTCCTAACCTACCAAATGGATATACACAAAGATCCTACACAAAATATTCAACCGTCAACAACAGTGCCTCAATGTAAGTAATTTCTTATAATATTCTATATGTTCTGCTTATCAACGCAACAAAATACGTAATAGTATTTTAATTCCCTTATGTTATCAGGTGATTTCAATAGAAGGTCTTAATATGATGATTAATTCTGCGCATACTGTTGTTTGATTCTCAACAACGACCAGGCGTTTGGTATGAAATAACAACAGCGAAATATGCTGTTAATGATTAAATCATTTGTGCATTTTATCTCTATAATATTTGTTCAAATTTTACAACCATAAGTATTCAAATAATTTCATTGTAGATTTTGTGATGAATTAAACTAAGCTAGAGTACCTTGTAAGCAGCTATTTTGCCTTAGTTTAGAACTCCTCATCAGTGCGTAACCCTACTGCTGAATCACATAACATTTGTATTTATGTCGCATTCACATTTCAAAATATTAAATACTCCTATAGTGAAATTTAGAACAACACATTTAATCATTCATATTTCTCTTGGATGATTTACATAAAATGTGACCTAATGGTATCTTGCATACCGCTAAGATCGCGAAATGCACTGAGATTATTTCCTCCGAATTTGTGATCAGTTAGAAGTTTAGGTGTTTGAACAACTCAGTAGAATACCATATACTAACAGCAGGAACTTGTATTTCAGTGTTGTGTTGTGTCTTCACACAATTTTGTTTATTTAACCCAAAAAGAGATATTTACAACTCGCCGTTACTTGGTACTTGACTATGAGTCACACTCTTCTTGTGAAGACTACTACACAGTTGCCCAGGCTGGAATAGGTACAGTAAAATGTTAACCCGGCATCCACTGGTCGAAAGTCATGTGCTCAAACCAATAAGCCATATCTCCATATTTAATTTTGTTCATATGACTGAAAACAGATATGACCGATCAAGAGGGAGCCCAATGTAGTAACTGGAATTCCCTTATTTGGGAATCTTACTGAACATTTATTCATAAACGACATAAAACGGCAACCACCTGAAAATTCCGTCTATTAAGAATGGGTGAGATTAAAACTCATGTATCACCAGCGAATCAAGAAACATTTGATACAGTTTTTAGAATAATTATGTAAATGATTATAGGCGGCCCGTTTGAATCACAGGGCTACCGAAATTGCTTTCCACCAAAATGCTTATATCCATCTGGATTTATCACTGTTTTAAATCACCTATACATGAGCTTGTGCTCTGATTTAACTTGCTTCCAAGTAAATGCTCCGCATTTCTTCAACAAAATGAATATATACTTCAGATTATTACTTTAAATGTATGTCCTGTATGAAGAAAAAAGTATTTTCGAATTAAATAACCTGAAAAGTTTCGTAACATATGTTCGCATATCGTTTGAAATAAAGCTTTATTATTATTAAAATTCACTGTCACAAAATAAACTAAACATATGTAATGTTGCAAAAATCACATGTCAGATAGCAAGAAATAAAAAGACGTCTAGTTTAACATTCATTTTTTGTGTACACGATTAGGAAACTACCAACACTATTATTATCTTCTTGGGTTACGAGTGGAACATAGCGCTTCAAAATCACATCTCCACCTCCTTCTATTTTCTGCTGCCATCCTCACATGGGTCCACGACTGCCCATATTCTCTCATCTCCACCTCGCCACACGATCTCCTCCATGTCACCCTAACACCAACGACCAACCCGTTGCTTTCCATTCACACTCCACTCAAGCGATGGCCTGCATTGCGTGAGATGTCATTCGACGGTCTCCTCAACGTGTGTCCTATCCATCTCCATTTTCTCCTGCATATTTGTTGAGCGACCGTCTCTTGGTTGATTTGTTTCCAGCCAGTTTCTTGTTGCTAATTCTTTGTGGCCGGCTGGCTGGCCATTTGATCTTCAGTATGGAGCCAGTGAAGTGGACAGCTGTTGATAAAGTCTGCAGTTGGATATTGGAAATCCTTTTCGTGACACTGATGAGAGATAACTGGTAACATAACTGGATAATATATTCCGACTTTGAAATCAACATATTAATTCATATGAATAAAAACATCGAACTTATACAGAATATTATGTTAAAACTGGCAAAACATTTATGTATATATACTGAACCCATTAAATGACAGTGTGATTAGTATAGATAAGTTTCTTTTTAACAAAATATCGATACACATATTTGTGCCTTCTTTCATCAGGAGAGAGTATTTGTTTAATTAGTGTATTGCTGGTCAAAAGCCATCATGATTCACCCCTAAAAACAGTGTAAAATGACATTGGGGAGATGAAAACCATGAAAGCCGAGTAAATTTCCCTTTCAAGCCTATACTGATTAATCATGGAGAAAAGGAAGTGTTCAGTGTCATTAGGTCCATCCCTGTAATTAAAATTGACTGCTGTTATAGAAAATCACAAGATAATTCAAAAGCTTCCTCTTATTTAAAAAAATATTCTATTTGTAAGAGAAAGGATACTTCAAACTTCTCCTAAATATCTGATCACTCATGTGCTACACATTTTATTGTTTTTGAAAAACTGCTGAATAACGTTGTTATATTTATTTGTCTGTCTGTAGAAGAGTGAGGAAAATCACAGTATACTTTCGATGATTCTTTTATCACTAATATATGCACAAATTAAGAGAAGGTTCAGTGTGTTCTGTAGAAAATCATGCTTTTGAAGGTTGCAAATTTCTTGTACAGTGTAAAATACTGCTGTTCAATAACTGTTTTCTCCTTTTTATGTTTCTAGGGCACAGAAAGAAATTGAATGTATTAAGCAAATTGAAAGACACCTGCCATTGGAATATCCATGTATTACAATCTTTTACTCTGACATGGAAACTGAATTAGAAAGGAAGATAATACTATTTATCGCAAGACGTTGGGATCGTGATGATCCGTTCGCCACTATTTCGCCACTAGTAAGTGAACTGGAATTAAGACATGGCAATGGATGGAAATTTGAACGAGTGGTTAATCCGATTAAGGTTGGTCGTGCAAATTCTTATGTAAAACCGAAATCAACGTTTTGTTTTCGACTTGAACCGGATCAATATATATACAAATTTTACAGAGATGATGAACATCACCACAGCCGTTAAATATGGAGCAAAAAAACATTTATTACCCTTCAGTATTTGTTCATTTTTTGCTTTATATATATATATATACATATATATATAGTTTCGAATTTAAAAACATGATTGTTTCTCCTAGCTATGAAATTATGTGAAAAAATTGCATAACAAATATATATATGATGGATTAAATCTTCTTCTGTTACACACTGTTTTCACCCACTTATTATTTAGTTCAAGTGAATTCTTTTCTGTTGAGAAATAAACCAAATAATAAAGTGTCTTTTAAGCGTATGCTTCAATACCAAGCATTTTTATCCCTGGTAATGATGATAACCAGTGAAGGCTAACCATTGTGTAACCAGGAGAGGCAAGCGCATTTTTCTTAGAAGAATTTACAAATCTTATACGATTTTCATAAGGCTTAAACTAACACAGAAATTTTCTAGTACAAAGGAAAAACACACTTTAAATCTCTTGAATAATGAATCCTAATGAGTCAATTAACGAAGTAGCATACGATTATCGAAATAAATTTCAAGTGTGTAAAAATAATTTTTTAGTTTTAGTGGGTATCAATGAAGCAAGATGCTTTAGACTCAAACCTTGAACTTGCTTGACTTCGGCAGTAAGACTTATCACCTACCAAGAAGAATTAATAATGCCACACAGTAATACAGTTTAGACACTTTCCAGTGCACTAATCATGTCTCACCTGAACCAATGTAGGTAAATTCAATTTTGGATGCCAGTTGATGTCATTATTAATGGTAGGACAATATCATGTAGACGAAGTAATCTAAATCGATGAAAGTGAAACCCTTAACACAGTATAATCATTTCGTGATGAAACTGACACCCCTGTGTGACTACTCAGAATGAAAAGGTCTTGAAACCTAATACTTTTCAAACACTATTTTCTCCAGCATGAAAGTTCTTACAGAACGATATGGAAATAAGCACTTTGTATACAAAACAGCTGAATAAAATCGTCAATAAAGACTTTCCATGTTTCATTTCATACCTCTTAAATATGTTCATGCATGTTTACTTACTGTTTTTCTGTTACCTGGCTGATCTATTACTGTAGTTGAAGATACTGGTGGTTTTACATTCATTAACGAAGAAACGTCGTTTTATGCCTCCCGGAACAACAGACGAAGAAGGTATATATATGTATCCGGGCGTTTTATAAACCTCTGATAGATGGGTGCGTTTACCAGAGGGTTTAGACGTCAGCTAGACGTTCAAACTAATAAGAATATTACATTGGTTCATAAATTTTAGAGTTCTGTGTATCAGCTTCGCTACCCTGGTGTTTAGAATTATTAATCTAGTCTCTTACTATCATATCATAGTTTCGCACGTAGATCACATTGTTTTTCTTATTACTATGTGGCGATTATATGTCGTTTCATTTATGCAACTAGACGTCCTGTTTGAACTGCCATTATCAACCTTAAGCGAACAAACAAATATTTGGGTATGTTTGGCATTTCGAGAACTGCCTTTAATGTATAAAATATATCAGAAACCAATTGTTACAGTGTAACGTCTCAATTAATTCCTATATCAATTGACTATAATTTGTTCTGTTTTAGAGGCAAAACAGGCATCAGGAGGTTCTGAGCCTACTAAAGTTAGGCAGTTCTCCACATAACAGTTAAGCATCTGCTGTTCTTCAGCTGAGAGCTAGGTGATAAACCATTCAAATAACTTCGTAATCTTTAAGAAACTTCTTTAGTAGAAAATATTTAAAATCGTCATCTAAACTATATATGGCTTTCAGAACCACATTAATCATAACTTTATGTTTTTCTCAGATCATATGTCATTCTTATTGAGCATCATCATACCTGTCTTATCTATTTTTTGAAATCAACACAGGTTTGAGAAAAACGAATCGACTATTGCCTTTTCTTATCACCTCTTGAACGATTTCTTAAATTTCGTACTAAAAAGCTTCTCTTTCAAGTTGTGTATGAAAATATTGTGTATGTAGCCACTTATTGGATCTCTACTTCTCGCCTAAGATTAGGGGGCATAGCATTATGCTGCAAATAGAAAAATGTTGCAAAGCATTTCAGGTGTTTCAGAAATTTCTGTCAGTGAATGATAAAAAGACTAAATTTAAATTATATGTTTCGATTATATTCTTTTGCATCTAACCAACATTTGAGTATTTTTAAATGTCGGTGTTTTTCGGTGTTTTATCATACATTGACAAAAAAATTCATGTGTGCATCAGATTGTTGGAAACGTTTTTAGAAAAATACTAAACTCAACTTTCATTTAGTTAGTTTAATTAAAGTAAATGAAATAAATTATTGTTGAGGCAGATGTATTTGGTTCGTTTATTAAAAACTTTTTTTTTAACAAATACTTCATAGGCTACAAAAACGTTTTGAAATGTGTGTAAAGCAATGTACTAAGATCAATGAATCGGAATATAGTATTCACTTCCTATGAATTTTGTTTATTGCTTCTCGTTCCCAGTGGTGGAACATAGGGCTTCAAGCTAGAGGCTTGAAGTTTCTGTAGCAGTGTTTATTTTTACAGGATGGGATTACTAGCCTCATGCCCAACCTTTCCTCTTCACCAGCTTTTTAGTTCTGGCTTAGCGAGGTAAAGGAGTGCGCTGGCCGGGGATCGAACCCCGGACCATGTGCATGGTTGGCGAGCGTCCTAACCGCTGTGCCACTGATGCTCCTATGAATTTTACTTTTGTCAGTTAGCAAGATCCAGAGGACCTTAAATCTCTATTTTCCGACAATCGTCGATAGTGGGAAGTCAGATACGGAACAGTGAATTATGGGAATAGAACTCGGGCATAGTTGTAGAGTAAAATCCCATTACAGAATACATTTACACTGTCCTATAGGATTCATTAGGAAGATAAGAAAAAATTCACAAAGTATTGAATAATAGTTCCGGAATTACTAAGCATAAAATAAGAAAGAGATTAAGGCATATACACATTTACCATATAAGGAAGGAATATCTGAAACCCTACGTAAGTTTCCTAACAAATCTGGAATCAGAGTGGCATAACAGGGTGAAACAGAGCTAAAATTCTATAAAGCGATATATGTAAGTGCAGGGAGAAGTCGATTAGTGAATCTTATTACATCGAATCTACACCTGAAACGTGCAATAGGAATTACACGACGTCAATACCAGATATGTGGAAAATATTGCTACCAAATAAAATCGAAAGATGAGAAATGATGGAAGTTTGAGAGCTTTTTGAGTTCCTTAATATGATTATGAACGATTAATTGTTCTTAAAACGTCATTAGTAGATAATACTGTATCACTGTGTGCTTTTATCAAATAAATTTATCTAATGTAGACCAGATTAATCAACTCACTGGTCGGCTTTTTATCCTTTCACTTTCCGACTGGAATGTAGGGCTTCAAGTGTGAGCTCTGAAATTTCATCAATAAATGAGTTTTAAATAACGCAGGGGTTTCTCGCCTCACGCCCAACCTCCCGCCTTTACCACGCTTAATAACAGCCAAGTGAGGCTTAGGAATATGTCAGCGGGGAACCTAATCTGGAGCATGTCGTGACCGGTGACTATAATACCAGTGGACGTCTGTGCGTGGTCGACAGACACTTACCAACACTTAAGCACTGTAAACTTAATAGACCACCGTCGGGGACTATGATCACACATGCAAATGTTTTTATTAATGATTAATTTACACAGAGTTTACAGTAATTTAAAAGGAGGTACTAAAGAATAAAAGTGAGCTTGCTGAATGCAGTCGAAAGCAAGAATCTACACGTAAAATAATACCTCCATTGAAGAGGTCCCAGTATATGTTCATTATGACTGTAATACTATATTAGTATTTGCAAGTATGTGTGCTGCAGCTTCCACCATTGGGTTGCGTATTATGATCATCTGGTACTGTCTTCGGTAGGTATCTGTTCGTGTACACACTTTGAAAAAATTTTATAGAACATAATCTGTATTAGTTGGTATATCTTTTAGTTTATGGCGACAAATATCTAATATTCGCAACAATCTTTGGCACACCAGAATTCGCCCAATTTTCTACGGTAGGATACTAAATGAAATAATTGTTCCTGTCATAAAATCCTAATTCATCGGCAGTGATTTGTAGCTGAGACCTATAATTCATGAATGCGCTTCGTTCTCTCAAGAGTATCTTTCTTCACTTCTTTCTGGTACGACTCGGAATCGAAGTGAAAAATTTGAAAGTGACAGCACTTCAGATATTCTCTTAATTAATGGTGTTTTGAGAAACTGTAGGCTAAATTGATACTCACTACTTAGAGAACCTAATGGAGGTAAAATCTGTCGCACAGCCATCTTATGGAATAGATATTGTGACAGGATTCAGAAAAGGGGGTAATAAACACCGGCACTTACAACAAGTTTTGGCCGAAGGTTTAATCATAATATAGTATTCATTCTGTCATGATTTCACTATCCTTAATATAAACTCAATGTCATCAGACATGTAAATTTTACTGTCCTCATTTTTTGTTACATACTGGTTGTTGGTATATATAGGGATAAAACTTGGGCATTATGGTAGAGTATAATTCCATTATGGACAAAATTTTACTTATTTGTATAAAAAAATCAAGACAAGTGATCCAGCTAAGAGACTCTTTTCCACGAATTTGTTATTGATTGTACATAGCTGCCTCACTTTGTTCTCAACAGTTTCTTTTATCTGCCTCGATTGTTATCCATAAGCTGTTAACTTCCTCCGTGTCACTCACAGGCGCTTACTGTTAATAAGACCGATTTAAGCTAGGCTCGAGGACCTCGATGGTCTCCATAGTGCTTGCCCAATCCATCCTCATTTGTTTCTGTATATTTGATGAATGGCGAATTTCTGGTTGGTAGGCTACAAGAGTTCCTTGTTACCGGTTCTTTCTGGCCATCTGGAACGAAGGCAGCCGTTGATGAAAGCATGGAGCCTGTTGGAAAATCTTTTGGTGACACGCTTGTCAAGTCTGTGAAGCTGACATTAATAGTGAAATCCCAATTGTTGTTATTTATATTGAAAACAGTAGATTTCCATATAGTTCTCCTAAATTAATACAAACTGACTGACAACTCATGTAAGATTATCTGTGTATTAAAAAATTTCAAATAAATTTTCTGATCTAAGATTACTTCTCTAAAATACTTTTCTTGTAAACTGTGGGCAACAAATTTGTGAGGTGTATAATTATAATGCAAAGACTTGTAGTGCTAAAATCGTGCTTTACTGGATTGTTTTTCTGAACATTACTGTGAGAATTGAATTCTAAATAGCCTCTGTAACTTTAAAGACGCTGTTCTATGAGCAAAAATTATGTACTAAAGTTGTGTTTGTTTTATGATCTGGTAAACACTGATAAATAAAGCAGATTTATTCATACTCCTTTCTATATCTGGTCATTGCAGTAAGATTGTACAATGTGTAGTAACTGCTGCTCATAACTATACATTGTCAGAATGACCGAAATAAATTTGATGACAGCGAAGTACAATGGGTAGTTAATTTTCTTTGATTTTTGTGTTGACTTCTTACTAAAACTTCTAGTTTTGACTTAATTTTCTCTGCAGTGTTAATTTTAATTCTGAAAAAATGAAAATTTAAGTTAAGTGATTGACATATGATACTGTGATATATTTCTGAGTACTGAAGACACTTTAATTACAGCAATATACATTCTTGAATATTCCTTTTTTCACAGTTCAAAGTATCTGCTGCAATTACACTTGACAAATTCATTTCTGGTTA